GGCTGTCATGGCTGTCATGGCTGTGCCAAACCGCGCTGGCGCAATATTCCAGCGACGATCTCATGTCATTCGTTACAGTTCGTGTTCAACGTCCCACAACTTGAAATTGTATGATCGCTAACACCGTGTTCTCCAGCTCCCCGATATTCGGGCAGTGAAATTCAAGGTCCAGTACCAGAACCGCGAGCGCGTTAGCCCCGGTTACTGGTTCGTCGCTCCTTATCTACACATTGGCCCCGACCCACCGTCGACCTTGTACGAGCAATACCAAATCGGACCGCATATCTACGATGGTGAAGGGGTGCGTTGACACCAGTCCCCCGCGATACAGACCCCGACAGCTGACCATATGTCGGTATAATAGCGCCTTATCTGGACTGGTTCGCAACAGTTCGAGAACCGAAACGTCTTCGATTTCAAAGTCGTCAACAGCCTAGGCCCGGACCCACACCTCTCGATGGTCTTGCAGAACTCGTGGGATCCAGCAATAGACACCGGGTACGGGGTAATCTTGACCAACGATTATCAAGTTCAACGAAAGCTTCCTTTGCGAAAGGATCTCGGCTCTTTTGACATCCACGAGTTCAATATTCTGGACGACGGTAAGACTGCGCTGGTCACGGTCTACCTTTCTCATGAGGTTACCCTAGAGGACTTCGGTCGCCCGACAGAGACTACCTGGCTTGAGACCGGCGGGTATGCTGAGATTGATCTGAACACCGCCGAGGTCATCCAGTCGTGGGATTCTTATAAGCGCATTCCTTTGCCCGAGACTGTGCATTACAACCAATTTTCCCCAGTGGAGGGACATCCTGGCTGGGATTATGTGCATATCAACTCAGTCGACAAGAATGAAATCGGGGACTACTTGATCTCATCACGGTTTGCGAACACCATCTACCTCATCTCCTGCATGGATGGAAATATCATGTGGCGATTGGGTGGGAAATACAGTGATTTCGAGCAAGATTTCACGTTTTCGAAGCAGCACGACGCGAAATTCATCGAGTCGAATGGGACACACCATATCATCTCGTTTTTGAACAATGCCTCGGACGAGGAATTCAACGAGGAAAATATATCATCATCCCTATTCGTCGAGTTGGATACCGGCGCGAGGCCCATGACCGCCAGAGCCATCCGGCGCTACAACCGCCCCGATGGCCAGCTCTCGAGACTTCGCGGCAATACACAGCTACTTCCGAATGACAATGTGTTTACCTGCTGGAGCAAAGAGGGCTATATTTCCGAATATGCCGCTGATGGCGAACTCTTGATGACCGCTAATTTCACCTCCTCGCGCTATTCATCATACCGCGGATACAAATTTGAATTCACTGGTCGTCCCAGGGCCCCACCAGACATGGTGGCGTCGGTCTACGGCACGGATGCGACCAACATGGTGACCACGTTCTGGGTCAGCTGGAACGGCGCGACGGATGTCGCATGGTGGAGGTTCTACGCGCAAGCCTCCGAATTCCACGACCCTGTCTTGATCGGCACTACCTCCCGATCCGATTTCGAAACCATGTACATTGCGCGCGGATATCTGGACTGGGTGTCTGCCGAGGCAGTAGATGTCAACGGCACCGTCCTAGGCAGGTCGGAAATGCACCGAAGCAAGTCCCCCGACTGGAAATCTGTCGGATACAAAGGGAAGTCAAGCCCACCTATTCCGGCCGACCCATCGATCGTATACCAGGCAAGCGATAGCGCAACAGAAGACAAGGCGGTTGGCGACTCTGGCCAGATGTCATCGGATGCAATCGAGACCCAAACACAGAAGACCACCCAAGTCCTCGATCACACTTACAATGCTATTCGCAGTATTGGCGGTGTCTTCTCTTTCGTTCTGCTTCTCTGTCTGTTTTTCGCTGTCATGGCATCCTATTTGGTCATCCGTGGCTGGCGACTCCGGGTCTACCAGCGTGTTCGTACGGAAGATGGGGGTTCAGAGGAGCGGGCGCATCTGGCACCGTTGCATCAGGATTGAGTCTCTTTGGCTTTGATTGGAAGCATACGCTGTTTGCATTATTTGCGGGAGTTTTGTACATCATTTTCTGGGTCTTTGGCGGGCTCTTGTCCAATGTGTATATAGTACTTGTTATTGGTTTCGCCGACTACCTGGCCATATCGGGGGGAGTTTGGCTTTTGCGATATCCCGCGATTTGTTCTTGTTAGACCTCAACTGTGATTCAGTTCTGATATGTGGAATGACTTTGTTTGAAGTACGATCAGCGACAGAGCCAAAAGGAATAATTGTTTGACTTCAAGGCTCCTTCCTAAACCTAGAACCGCGTGTAAACAAAGAAGGCAAACAAAGAAGGCGCAATGCATGTGACATTGACATTGACAGGGAAGGTGCGAGGGACCTATCGCCCTTGAGGAAGGCACCGTTTGTCGAGGGTATAAAAGGACTCCTCCCCCCATTTCTCTTCTTCTCTTCTTCTTCTCTTCTTCTTCTCTCCTTCCCATCTCTCTGACCACCATCTCACCGTAGCCCCCACGAGACAGCGCAGGCAGAGGGACCCGTAGCACATGCTGCTTCACCTACCACAGGGATCATAACATTACCATATGTATGAGGTCCATGTAGGTCTGCATCAAACAACAAACCGGGCTTTCTCGTGGACGTTCCTGAACTCGTGGCTCTCATTGCCACTTGACGAGTCCCACGGAATACATGAGTGGTGTAAATCTTCGTAGCCGAGGACGGGTCGCGTAGGTTTGACCTCCATGTAAGCATCGAAGCTCAGCTACCTAACTGGTCAATGGTATTCTCGCTCCCCTTATGTCAGCATTGGAACCTCCACCATGGCTGATCCACAGATGCTTCTTTGATATTCGAGTGGATCCCACTGTTTACAATGAGATCTAGGTCTTGAAGACATCAACCATGCGACCCTGCACAGTTTGAGCGTTGAGAAGGATTGCATCTGACCGCGATACGGTGTACTCGGACTTTATGCATTCCTCTCGTGATGCAGGTAGCTCTTGCATCGGTCGCCGGAACTCTTATCATGGTGATACAATCCCATAGAAAAGAGAGTAAGGAATAACTACCCCTCATGAGGGGTATCACTTGAGGGGCATCTTGTGAGGGAATTCCCAACTGACTATTTTGTGTCTATTTTGGCCGTCTATTCCAGAGTGTCCGTCCGGAAATTGAGACACTGATCGAGACCCTGTTATCTCACCTTGGAAGCTATCACACAACATACCTTTGGATATCAATTGAGACCTGTTTACACAATTGGAGAGGTCGTAGGAAAGTGGTCCTACCCCTTGTTCCGGCCCACAAATTTACTTGATAAGGCCTGAAAATGCCCGCATCGTACGGCGCTTATTCCCGAGATTCGGGAATAAAAGTCACATCATTCCCGAAGTTATTCCCGAAGTGTCTTTCCCGTTATCTATAATGAAGTACTCCCCGTACGTACTCTGGTTCGATTCTTTCTTTTTCGTCAGTCGATTCCTAAAGCTCAATCTTGGAACCCATCTGTTTATTGTCCAACCAAATTCGCAAGGAATTGATACCCGCCATGCCCTCAACAAGCTTATGCCAAGATGAGGCCTGCCCTCCATACAGCCTTATGGATGATTACAGTGAAGGAGCCCACCCACAAATCCTGGAAGCTCTTTTGCGAACAAACTCCACACAGCAAGTCACCTACGGAAACGATGAATACAGCATTTGTGCCCGGCAATTGATCCGAAACAAGATCGGTTGCACGGAGGACGAGGCGGGTGTCTTCTTCGTTCCCAGCGGAACCTCCGCAAACCTCATTTCAATCGCCAGCTGCCTAAGGCCTTATGAAGCTGTTATTACTCTGGAGTCTGGTCACATCGCCAGCAAAGAGGCAGGTGCGATCGAGGCGACCGGCCACAAACTTATCCTCGTGCCTGCAGTCGACGGCAAGATGACGCCCACCAATCTCCAAAAGGCGCTCCAGCAAAATCAATTCTACCCTCACATGGCCAAACCCCGGCTACTTTATATCTCCAATGCCTCAGAGAGTGGCACTGTCTACACGAAACGCGAGCTTAGCAGCCTCTCCGCGATTTGCAAGCAATCAAATCTCCTGCTCTTCATGGACGGAGCACGAATCGGCTCAGCAATTTGCTCGAAGAAGAACGATCTCACTCTACGGGAGATCTTCGACATGACCGATATCTTCTGGATTGGTGGCACCAAAGCCGGTGCCCTGATGGGAGAAGCAATCGTCCTCAAGAAGGAGCTAGCTGATGGCTTCGATTTCCATCTCAAACAGCATGGCGCTTTGCTAGCCAAGGGCCGTATTCTCGGAGTTCAGTTCATGGAGCTCTTCCGATCAGACTTGTTCTTTACACTAGCCACGCATGCCAATGAGATGGCCCAGAAGATCTCAAACAGCTTCGAGAACTTGGGTTATAAGTTGGCTGCGGAGACGGAGACAAACCAGGTTTTTGTTGTCATTCCTCAACAATTGGTTCAAAAACTGCATGAAAAATTCCGATTCTATGTTTGGGAGCAGCTTGATGATGGAAACTCTGTGATTCGGCTTGTGACCTCCTGGGCTACGGATGAGCTGGAAATTGATAAGTTCAATGCGTGGGTGCAACAGTGGACAGTGGAAACCTCCAGTTGAAGTAATCCGTCCATTAAATGTTGCCGACGGGAGTTGTTTTAGACGTTTCGTTATCACTATAGAGACACCCCATATTAATATAATACCCGACTCAATAAAACCATCAATTTCAACCTATCCACGTACAGTATCTATCTGTGATGAACTTATATCTCTATCATCCCGACTAGCAAGGACTTGAAGAATACGCTCGGCCTTTTCGACTCGAATGGTCTACGTTCTTACAACAAGCTAGGAGGTGTCACTGATTTCTAAGAAGTCGATAGTCTCACCGTGAGCTTCCATTCCTTACAAGCTATGCTGTTCGGTGCCGGGGTGCATATGTTTCATCCAGGCTACGCATGGCTGGTTTCCAGCGCAGACATACAGCGCCTACCACGGCTGCAAAAGACAGGCCACTGCCACGTAGAAAGTATGGGTCAATGCCTTATTGTATGCTTTCAGCACCGTGCCATATTGATCCGAGGGCACGTGGTCACTGATCTCTGTTGCGCCCATGCTCAAGACGGCCTGAGCATCTATTCCATCGACCTCTTCCGCCAGATACCTCACCAACTCATTGGTAAACACATTCTGAGCAACTGAAACCATGATGCTACCCATAAGGTTCTGGCAGAACATGATGATCGCTGTGCCAATGGCAATATCCGCGACCGGTAGAGCCTGAGCAGGTGTCAGAGCAGTTAGGATTCCTAATCCCGACCCCGCACCGAACAGGATCTGGTATCCTATCCATTTACCTGTCCCTGTTTGTACCTCCAATGTACTGAGAAGACCTGATCCTGTGGCGGTCAAGACAACGGAAAGGCAGGCGAAGGGAGCGTGACAGCCCGCCAGAGAGGTGAGCGCACCGCCCGAGGTGGAAAATATCACGAAGCTAATAATTGTGGGCAATGTCATAATACCCGAGCGTACTGGGGATGCACCTTTGATTGCTTGGAACCAGATGGGGAGCTATTGTTGTTCGCATGTTAGCGGCGAGGGTCAATGAAGAATTGGCGATACTTACATAGTACATCATTGTGAAAAACGCAGCGATGATACACGATCCGTACATTGATGAGGCCCAGATCTTCCTATTTTGAACCACCCGCATAGGGACTGTGACATGGGACTGCACTTTGGTGAACATTTGGATAGAAGCGAAGGCGAGAAGAAGAACTGGTCCAAGAACTAGGAGGGCAACGATACGTCCGCTCGACCAGATGTATTTTGTCCCACCCCACTGTAGAGCTAGAAGCAAGCATATAACACCAGGGAGAAGTAACGAAAGCCTGGAAAGTCCATCTGGCGAATCTTTTCTTTCATGGGCGACTGAGGGAATGGTTGCGGCTGGTCAATATCGGCATTGGGGGCGTTCTTTATGAGTCGAATACAAACGAATATCACCAAGGCCACGAAAAGCCCCAACGGAAGGTTGATATAGAAGCACCACCGCCATGTCAATTGCGCATTGGTTGTGAAGGCACCGCCTACGAGAGGACCTGCGATAGAGCCAACGCCAAATGCCGCGCTGACAATCCCCACCACATAAGCGCGATGTCTAAGAGGGACTCGGTGGGCAACCAGCACGAAAGATCCAGCGCTAACACCTCCACTACCAGCACCGGCAATTGCGCGACCGACAATGAATGCGGTTGAGGATGGAGCGACGCCGCAAAGCAATGATCCCACTTCAAAAATAAACAGGGCAGCCAGATAAACCGACTTGGCGGACCAGAATGAGTACAGCTTGCCCCAGATGAGTTGGATTGCGCAAAAAGTCAACATGTAAGCGCTTGCATACCAACCCACATCGTCTAGCGCATGAAACTTGTTGGTGATTTCAGGTATTGCCGTCGACACAATTGTGCTGTCCAAGCCGAGTAGAAACATGGAGAGTGCGAGAGAGAACACCACCAGTGATATTGCGATCCAGCTGGAAGTGCAAATTGCGGCACTGGATTGGTCTGCTTCAGGAACATATTCTTCCCTATCGACTATAATTGATGTCTTGCTCTGCTTTTCAGGGTCTGCTGGATGACCATCATTGGAGGTGTTGATGACCATGATCTACTGTGTAAGTTGGATTTTGCTGTCTTTCCTTTTCTTTCCGGCAGAACAATCCCCACGCTGGTACCCGGTTCTCGCCAAGTAACCCAATACCCGAATGGGGATTGGGTTACTTGGCGAGAACCGGGTAGTTGGCAATAATTATGAACTGAATCGAGCCTAAAAGGGGTTAGGAGCTTTGCATGCACAGTCTTTGTTAGCTAAGCTATTACCCAGAGGCCTGTTTCCAGGGTTCCGGAGGCCAGGTCAACTCCAGGGGCAAGGGGCAAAGGGAAAAGTAAATGGCGACATATTGTAGTCGATCATCGTGATTGGTTGAGTCAATCTCATCTAATTGGAATAAAGCCATATGCAAGGGACGGCATCCTCTCCTCAGATCTGTTTAGGCTGAACGGGTCGACATTCCTCCTTGCAGCGTCACGGGAACACTGGAATGTGTGATTTGTACCTACTAAGCGCGTTCTATTTTAGCGGCTGCTTCTTTGGTATGCAGATGGCCAAACTGATATTCCAACATGTCCCTATGTCTTTCCAGATGGTGGCAGTAGCACAGCCAAGTTCCTCCAAGGTGAATCCGCTTCGGCTGGATATGGACCCATCCACCAGATCTGGTCTGGTCTCACCCCGAAGATCGTGTTGACTAGGCCCGAAGGTGTCAAGACAGCGTACCGCGATTCTAGGCAGCATCGCAGGGCGTAAAATCTGAATTCCGGCTGGCTTCTCGGGGCGCTGATGGGTGATGGTTTGGGCTTTCTTAGTCAAGAGGAATGGAAGAAGGCCCATGAGGATTCCAGTTGGGGGAAATACAGGGAGCAGTACCATCCGCAGTTTTCTCGAAGAATCCGCGAGTGCGTCCCGGTACCGGCTGTAGCGATATGGCCTTGGCCCTCGTCAATACATGGCGCAGCATGTTGCAGATGTCATTCTCAAAGTGCTGCTATCTACCGCTTTCACCCCTACCGCGCCATACCGCCTTATACCACTTTTGTGGTAAATAGTAGCAAGACAGTAGATACCTGCAATTTGTATGTAAATCTCTAATAAAATCAAGTCACTTTTGCCATAAACTGCTTCATCAACTGTCTCATCAAAATTCTGCAAAATTTTGCAAAATTTATACCTCATAGATCCAAGTCAGCTGATCGCGCTAACCATATTCGGATACTAAGATATCCGCGTAACTCGTGCTTCTTCGGACGTCCAACTGTTCGATTAATCGATACAAATGATTGAATTGGTGCAATTGGGCTCCTAAATTGATCCGATGGCTTAATTCTTTCTTAATATGTCACATGGTACTTGACAGCCAGTTCTTTTCACCACAGCACACTCCGCTCTTCCCCGTATGTACACTCGATGAGGCTGTCAATATCGTGTGATGCTTGTCGGTAAGCTTCTATCGATCTTATGCGTATCATATCATCTAATCTTTCATGTAGTCAAGCAAAAGTCAAATGTGTCCATGAAGGGCAACCGCCCTGTCAACGTTGCTTGAAGAACAAAAACCAAGAATGTGATTTGACAGATCCCCGTGCCTCAAGACAGAGGACACGGAGAAATATCGTCTCATCCAGGACCCCAAGAAAACGAAAAGAATTATCTGCCCTATCTCCAGTGATAGGAGATGCAGAAAGAGGCACCCATAGGAATGTCACCGTCGCTCAAGACCTATCCAAGGATCCCATAGCAGCGCTATCGCCAGCAACCATCATCAGCGCAGTGGAAACCTACAGAAAAAAGTTCCCAATTACCAATTTTCTTCATTACCCGTCTTTAATCTCTGACATATCATCCAACGTCCACTCGGTGGACTCCGTCTTTGTCGCCTCGGTCCTTTCCTTATGCGTGCGGTTTATGAACAGCGATGAACTCGGGGAAGAAGAAATCTATGCCAACTATGCACGCAAGAACCTGGCCCAGCGCGTGCTTGAAGCCCCCTCACTTTATCTTGCCCAGTCCCTCGTGATGATCTCATTTTATGAGTGGGGCACTGGGCGACCTTATCAAGCTTGGATGTATAGCGGTACGTATCAAATCGCCAACTGATCGTAGAGCATTAGCTGACGAGCAGCAGGCATGGCGACATATATGATACAATCCCTTCTGAAGATGGCAGATGATAGCATGGAACACAATCCTCAAGAGTTTCATGCATCCCAGACACAATACGAACAACTGGTCCGAACCTACTGGTGCTGCTTTGCCCAAGACTGCGAGCTAAGCTCCGGGGCCCGTCAGCACTTTGCGCTATCATTCTCTCAGATCTCGGTCCCTCTCCCAATCAGTGATCGGGACTTCACATTTAATCATACTCCAGCCAACAGGTTGATGCCTGCTGATATGAATAAAGACTGTTTGCTAGCGAAGAATCTTACGATTGAGCATGGCCTGACAATTGTCACTCGAGGGTTTGACATATTCGTACGAATCCTAAGATTTGCTAATGAACATCGACGAGCACTGGCTTCTTTGTCTTCAGATGACTCGGCTACATCTCCGCTCCTCTTGACTTGGCAAGTCCTCAAGAAGGAATTGGATGAATGGAGGTTTCTTCAAGATGTAACGGTTCAGTTCCCAGCTACCAGTGTTCAATCGCACGTAGCACTCGGGTACGGGGAGCTGTTTGCATACATCAATCTGGTTCATTGCATGAGGTATTTGTTTCTTTTTGCGCATTACAGGCCGGGATACTAACTATATCTCCTCCAGCATCCTTTTTCTCCACCGAGACCGCTTCTTATCCAATCTCAAGCCCCATTCCGACGTTTTCCATGACGCAAATGATGATACGCAAGGCGAACCCGATACAATAAAACAGCTATTCGAAGCCGCTCAGCAGATCGGGGGTATCCTCAATGCACTAGACGCCTCCGGTGCACCTATTATGTCACCATATTCCGGCTTTAGCGTCTTTGTCGCTGCTCATATCAACATGTACGGAACAATTGCCCCACAGCGATATCCGGGTGGTCTCAAACGGGCCGAAGAAGAAAAGACTCGAAACCTTGATTATCTCGAGCGACTAAGTAAACTCTGGCCGGTTGGTCGCAGCTGGGTGAGTATCTTCTAAAAGGCTTCAACATCACAGCTAACAATAATCAGTGGCGAACAGTACAAGAGGCAAACCGATTCTACGAAATAGTCAAGAGTAACCAATCCCACTCCGAGTCTGGAATGCACAGCCCTAGGAGATTCGCCCTCGCAGGTACCCTGGATGAATATGGCGACATCCGATCTCGTCCAAGCAGAGACGCGTATGCGACCAGGGCGCGAACCTCTGAATCCCGTGATACGCACAGCTCTCATACCCGTGGAGGAACCTCGTCGTCGCCTGCTCTTGGTGGTGAGACCAACTTCCTTCCCAGAGAGAATGCTGCCGTTGGTAGTCATCATGACTTTGAAACTGATATGTTTCAATGGCCATTTATTGATGGATCGTGGTCCCTTGGGTTTGATGCTGGATTGGATGGATTGTGGTATAACTCGGGGTTATTTGACCCAAATCCATCTCTTAGGTGATGTTGTTCCTTTTCGTTGGAGTGTATATGTCGCCGTGCGATTTACATGTGAACTCTCAAGAAGAAACCCCTTCGATAGTTATGATGTTGTCGATTGGAATTATATCATCGCCATGGATATATATCGCTACAATTTGTTTGCTTTTTGCATTTCGAAATTTCCAGTAATATATCTATCCCATTCAATAAAAATTTAAATAAATTTCAATCTAACATTAGAAAATGAGCTACATGTAGTTATACAAAGTTATTACCATTTGAATATTGTGCATAGGCGGGATGTGCGTGGATGTATACTTTAGTAGACATTGCTTATAATGGCAAGATGGTCATGTCCTCACATCAACCATCCAAGTGGCCGAGCAGTAACTCGGCCATCGCATTCTTCCTTGGTCTAGTGGTGATGATTTCCGCTTGTCATTAAAACCGATAAGCGCGGGAGACCGGGGTTCGATTCCCCGAGGGAGAGATTTCTTTTTGCACTTTATTTTTGTGTTAATTTTAGCCACTCCCTTTTTTTACAATGTTCCCACGTTGTAGCCAAAAAATGACAGAGAATGATGGTGGTGGGACAATATATGAGGCTGAAGTTGTCTTGGTGGAGGCATCCAACTTACGGATCCAGGGCCATATACGGAGACATAGCTCACTACATCTACAATTCTGGGATAAAAAAACATCCGCAGCAAAAAGATTCCATAGATAACTATCTAAACATTCAGATTAAATGAAACCTTCCTTGCGATTCTCTCGAGACGCCTAGCAATGCCATTACATTCGCACTGACACGGGTCCCTATTAAGCGCCAATGTCATACGAACCAAGTCGTGCTCCATGGTAAGAAACACATTCTCGAACTTGTAATTACCATCAGCTTCACGGCACCAAAAGGCAGTATTGCGACGAATAATCTCGCTATCCGGGGCCCGAGCAACCATACCGAATGCAATGTCTATGATCCGATCTGTGCGAATAGACAGATCCACTACCGCCTGAGAGACATCCCCGATACGTTCCTTTCCTCGACTATCTGGATCGCACCGTAGAATATGGGCTTGGGCATCTAGGTTAGCTACGAAGATGCGGCATTCGTGCAAGAGCTTGTCTTGCCAGGATGAGGATATTGGTGCCATGGTTTTGGTGAGTATGGGTGATAGACTCGAGTAGATGGGGAGTTGGAGTATTTATATTAATATGGTTGATTGGTGAAGACGACCTCGAACAAAGAGAGAGGCCATTGTTTGATTTTTGATTGGGAATACAAAGGTATACATCCTAACAAAGACCTAATCTTGTCTATCTTCCAAGGTTAGTATAGGACAAAGATGATCACATTACCTAGATATATGCGTACAACAACATATGCATGTCAAAAAAGGAGGGCAAAGAGAAACAGAAAGAAAATTCATTAGGGTAATTAATGAGTGGGTATATAAGATTGAGAAATTGCCGACAACTCCTAGCTCCTCCCGTTAAGATGTTTCCACGGTCTGTGATACAGCCACGGTCTTCCTGATGCCCTCCTGGTCGTTGATAGACTCAGACTCGCCAGCCTCCGGGTGACCAGCAAATGAGATCAGATGGCTCTGGTCACCAAAGTTTGCCACCTTATCCCAGTCAGTAGCAGTACGGGAAGCCGGGGCCGATTTCCTATCACTCAACGGATGGGTAGAGGCGCCATTGTAGTATTTTTGGGACGAGTGGTTCTTCTTGTAGTGGGACAGTAGGACGTTTAGGACAGGTAGACAGGCGCAGATCAATCCAACGCCTCCCTCGGCATTGCTAGTAGACGTTAGGAAAAGAAAGAAAGCAAGAAAAACCGACCAAAAGGGGATGGGGTACGACATACCCGGATAAGATGACACGAACGAACATAAGGCCCTCATCGCTTGAACCTTGCAACACCATGATCAACCGGTAAAGACTGAACCCGGTGGCCAGCCCACCAGCGCCAAGTAGTCCTACCACGCGCAGCTTTCGATTGCGCGACATTTGCAAAGACCATGTCAATGGCAATGGGAGGATAAGAATGATGAGGTCACTGACCACACTAATCACGGAGTCGGCGATCAGGGCAGCGGTCTGGTCTAGACAGCTTCCCTTCACCACGTCACCGAGCCAGTATCTGGGAATGGGAGCACAGATGCGAATCTTGACGATCAGAGCAACGGTGTAGTAGCAGCATAAGCAGGCGAGGAAGATATAGATGAACCAGACTTTGCTGCGGAAGGGGGCGAAGATGCGGGTGAGAATTGCTAGGAGGGCGATTTTGACGAAGAGCGCCATCGGACAGTAGAGAATGGTCGCAATATAGCAGAACTTTTTGAATGCGATTAGCTCGTGAGGGCTAATATCACTAAGTCCGTATCCTCCTCCATGTTGGCCAACTAGTAGAGTAAGTATGTAATTGGGAAAACGTGGGAAGTATAGCACCTACCGACGATGGATATTGCACAATATCCCATAAACAGAAGCTGCGTTCAGTCAGTCCTGGCCAATAAGGCACTAGATTATTTGCTCAACGTACCCAAGCAATGGTACAGGCAACTGAGGGACTGGTTAGCAGGATTGCAGTATATGTATAAAGGGACAAACTCACGGTCTTCAACCCCTAGAGGATGCTTGAATCGAAACCGGGTATAAAATCGCAATACTACGAAGATCGTCACGATTGGAATGCAGAGACATTGTGTGACAAGATTGACAGTATGCAAGACATCCGTTGGGTTCTCGACAGTCATGATGGGCTTGAAGTTGAAGTCCCCCTCCCCTTACAATAAAGTACCGGGGAATTCACAAGATAAAGAACTTCACATCGTGGAAATGAGGATTGACAGAAAGACGATCCTTAGCGGGGACTTGAAAGCTATCGAACCACTTATGTATACCTCGTAGTGGCGCGGGATCCATGATGGTGATAATTGCTCAAGGGGCTGCCTTAGACCCACCACTTGGCTCAGTTGATTTCTGAATGGTTCGTGAAGGATTTCCATGAATAACGCTAGATAGCGCTAGACTCCGTTTATACTCCACCAGCATGTACCGGCGGCGTGGGTGCCAGCCACCCGGGCAAATAGTATCGATTCTAGTGCCTCGTATTTCCCCGATGCAGAATTTGCACAGCGGTTCGCCACCAACACCGTTGTTTTACCAGTCAAATAGATGGGTCTTAGTTAAACCCTATATTGGCTAGCCGAGGCACTATGGCAGCTTTGACAGCTACGATGTCTTGGGTTAAAGATCGACATTGGGCCGAAAAAGGAGTCGCGTGTGTGTGTTTTTCTCCTTTTCTTTCTATAATTCCGTCTGTCCTCTATAATTCATTCCATAGTAAAGCGACATAGAACAGAAAAGAACAAACATGACCGTCCACTACCTGAGCGGCAAAGACTCGGATCTTTTCAAACCACTGACGATCTCAAATGGAAACATCACCCTCGAACATCGTGTCGTCCATGCGCCTCTGACCCGCAACCGCGGAGAGCCATTGAATCCCACCAACACCCCGGACCACCCCAATCGTATTTGGATACCCGGCGATGCAATTGTGGAGTATTATTCCCAGCGTGCTACCAAAGGTGGTCTGATAATCTCGGAAGGGATCCCCCCATCGCTTGAGGTAAGTAAGCATCGGACCCGATTTGATGGCATACACCGGATTATTATGTGATTCCGGCATTGCACGCTTAATGACATTATCCAAACTTTAATTCCAATTATTTTTAACTCCGTTTCCACAGAGCAATGGGATGCCCGGTGTACCCGGTCTTTTCAACTCCGAACAAGCCGCGGGCTGGAAGCGAGTCGTGGATGCCGTTCATGCGAAGGGGGGCATTATCTTTTGCCAGCTATGGCACGCCGGCCGGGCCACGATCCCTCAGATGACTGGGTCGCCCGCAGTCTGCCCGTCGGCCTCTGTGTGGGATTCACCGACGGAATGTTATTCGCATCCGCCCGTCGGCTCCACCCAGCCCGTGCCCTACGCCAATCACCCGCCCATCGCAATGACAGTGGAACACATCAAACAGACTATCGAAGATTATTGCATTGCCGCTAAGACTGCTATGGATATTGGCTTCGATGGCGTCGAGATCCATGGCGGAAATGGTTATCTTCCGGAGCAGTTCTTGAGCTCGAACATCAACAAGCGTGGGGATGCTTACGGCGGTACTCCGGAGAAGCGCTGCCAGTTTGTGTTTGAGTTGATGGAGCAGGTGGCCAAGACCATTGGTGAGCAGAATCTGGCTATTAGACTGTCGCCGTTTGGAATGTTCAATCAAGCACGCGGAGAACAGCGTGTTGAGACTTGGACTCACCTATGTGAGGGTCTGAAGAAGACTCTCCCGTCGCTGTCGTATGTCAGCTTTATTGAGCCGGTATGTTTTGTTTGTCTCTATCTAATGACATACTGCTAACCCGCCCAGCGTTTTGAACAAATCTTTGGGGCCGAAGAGAAGGATAAGTTCCTCAAAAGCTGGGGCCTGCTGGGTGTGACCCTGGATCGTTTCCGCCAGATCTTTGGCTCCACTCCGTTCTTCTCCGCCGGTGGATGGGATGATCAAAACTCCTGGGGAGTAGTGGAATCGGGTAAATACGATGCGTTGTTGTATGGTCGATACTTTACCAGCAACCCAGATCTGGTGTACAGACTGAAGGAAAAGCTCCCCTTGGCTCCATATGACCGAACTCGGTTCTATGGACCATTTGAGGACAATACCTTCCATTACACGGATTACCCTACTGTGGATCGACATTAAGTGGTTTCATAGAGTAAATATAGATGTTACCTAGGCAGATAGATATTAGAGGCATGTGAAACTTGGATTTTAAGCATAAGAATAAACGTGGAAATTCTCAGCCTTCACCCCGAAACCGAGTCTAGACCAAGGCCGACCGTAAGCGATCTATGGTTTAAATGAATGTGGGATTCCGGGAAACGACCTTGTCAGCCCTAATGTAAGACACGGCAATATCGGCAACATTGTGCCTCGTGAGAATCATTTGTAATACGGAGTACATAGTTATGCTCGGACATCAGTGATCGACGGCCGTGATTAAGATCGTCCCCAAACGGGCTGCAGCCTGCAGCTGCACCCTACCGGATGGGCTGCAAAAACCCGATGAGAGAGAAAATATCAAAGTTGTCTCGACATTCTCTAAATTTGGGTTCGGCAGAGTATCAGTCGCTGTTATATTGCTCATCTTGAATTACGAGCTCAAGGCCCACTTATAATGACTTGATGCTTTTCGCCGGGACCATACTGGCAAAGATCATCCACTTCACCCGTGCGCATTAGAGGGAAACGGTTTGTATTACTCACCAACACGGCAAGGCACAGCCAAAAAAGGAAAAAAAGTGGGAAGCAAGCGATCATCTGGAGTTTGTATCGCCAGCTTCCCTTTTAGTGCTAGCCGATGTCAATAGCCGACGCCAAGGCTATGGCACTATGTTGTACAGTATATCTTCCTACACTAAGCGAACTTGCGGGCCGGATATATATGAAAATGCCGCGGGAAAATCCGTGAGCTCTGAAAATGCCGTATGGAATTTTGGGCAGGGGTTTCGCTGTAAGCGCTGTGAAAAGGATACCAGTGAATGCGTAAATGCGGTACGTAGTCAGGACTTACTTATAGCGGTACCCGAAGCGCCCCGAAGCGCCCCGAAGCCTATCCGTTGATAAAGAGGCTAATAATCTCTCCACAGTATGCACCAGCTTGCCACTATCAAAGGTTATATGTTGTACATAGAAAAAGTTGGTTCCAAAAATTCAGACTTTTCCCGCTGTCTAGAAAACCAAGAAGACATCGAGAATTGCTTTTAAGACTAAAAAGACTAGCACATACTAGCCAATTATTATTGTATGCTATCAGTAATATACTATTGGGAGTAAACAATTGGGAGACTGGCTCCACGCACTGCTTCTTGATAGGAGTCTGACGTCAATTGGCGCGCGTAACCGACTATCATGTAGATAACAGCTACATTGAGGTGATGTATACACTCTTACACACGACTACATAATTATTTGCCACTAGAGGCACAATCGTTCGCCACCCCAACCTGAAATCAACATACAATTACTATATACAATGACCGTCGCAGACGAGGGAAGAGGCATTTCCTGCGAGGAACTATGATGATCGTGAGCATTGGGCGTTCCTCATTCCTATGTAGCTTAGTATACCTCTCTTCGGCAATCTCTTTAACGTCCTACAGGTCTCTCTTGCTCATTTTGCAGAGATGCTTCTCCCAGTTTCCAGAGCAGGAGGGAATTTTGTCTTTGTCCGCATGAAGCTATTTGAAAGCTTCATGGCAGTAGTTAGATCATCATTGATGTGTAGCTAAGAGAAGAGCGAACAATAAAACGAACTGTATTATGCTAACTACGTGTGTATATGTGTAGAAGAAAAGAAGGAGAGAAAGAAAGATATGGTAGTCCTGATAAACAGGGTCAGGTGACGTGATCCCAATAATCAATCTATCTTATAGATTTCATATTGTTGTCACTCTTCTCTCCAGACACATATCAGATTGCGATCAGTACAACTTACAAACCAAGCTAATCTTACGATGATATGAAGTGCGCTTTCTTCTAATCTTCCAAGCTGCAGGTCTCCTATCCTAGGACAAAGTCATGGCGTAAGAAACCCCCTTTCACATTGTAGCAAAGACTCTCTTTGTTTGTACTGCTAGAAAAAAAGGAAGAACAGACATGCCCATGTTCTCACTGCAGAATAAGACCAGGTCAACAGGACCAGTATGAAAGAAAGAAGCACACCCGTTTGATCCATCTGATTTTACCCATAGTAAACCCCCTCCTCAACTGGGTCAGGAATGTCCCCTGGCCATCTGCTATTGACGCTCTCCATCGCCAGCTCGATCTCATCCTCGTCAGAGAACACACCGTAAATGTCGAAAAGTTGAAGCTGATCATGAACCCAGATGCGACTATCCTCAGCAAAATTATCAATCTCAAATTTGTGCCGGTTATTCACAACAATCATGTCGTAGATATCTCCCACTGTGTATCCGGGGTGCACGCTCAGAGTCAAGATCAATTCCCGCTCCGGTGGAACCAAGGTCGCTCGTCTTTCAAACGAAATGATAGCTTTGGAGCCATCATCAAGAATCGTGCTGTCTTGTGAGAAGCTTGGACCACAATTCAGTCTGATCGCCGTCATGTTCACTTCCGATGTCGACAGAAAAAAGGTCCAGCGATTTGCAGAATTGGGATCGAGAGGTGGCAGACATATGGCTCGAATGCAATCGAGAGGCTCGTTCAGGATCTCATCTCGCTCCGAAAGAGGTTTGAACTCGATTGGGTCCCATTCCATAGGAAAGTCTAGTTCTGTTAGATCTTTTTGTTAACATATAGGGTGATGGGTTGACATACTCTGGAAGAACTCATTGATCAGCATGTTGGGTACTGGCCACAAGGGTAGAGAGAGAAGGGAAAACAACTCTGAAGGCTTCAGCCATGGCAGAGATGGCTAGAGAGATGGTAAGACATTTCGCGTTAAAACAATCATGAGAATGGTCCGGACCACCTTATTCATGCTAATTTATGTTCTATTCTGTCTAGTTGGCCTGTCTTATTAGGCTAGCCCTATTCTATATTCAACCCTCTTTCTCCCTTGCACAATATTAACAGCTTTTATTGTCCCTAAAGACGTACACAACGAAATAAAATGCGATAAACTCAATGGTTCCAACTTCCAGAACACATACTTGGTCGCTACTTATTGTATATGGCAGAAGTGGCTGGAGAGATGGTTTCGAAGGGGCAGAGAGACCAAAGGTCGCCTGAATACTTAGTTATGGGCCTTCATGTGAACTAGAATCCCAGAGGAGAAGTTAGACCAGTCGCCACTCACAGAATGAAAAAGGAGTTTATAGGATGTTGTTGCATTAGGAGACAAGGATGTCTACTACGGTCTGTGTGATCCCTATGTTTGCTAGCTGACTGTCCTAGATGGTTGTTGCGCTCTCGTCTTGTCCGCTGCCAGACTGCCCATCGTGTATATCCCTCTTCAATGGTTTGATAATCTATTCCATAATTACGAACGCCTTCTTTCACTGTAAGCCTGATGCTTGGTATATATAATTTCTAGGTTATTTACAGGGTTCGAAGATAAAGGGCAAAGAAATGTAGTATCGTCCAAATCTTATTGCAATATATTCCTAGGATGTCTGCTGGCAGGTCAAGGCTAACGAATTGCCTAACAATCTCGGTGATTCGATCAACGGGAATTCATTCCAGATTTGGTAATGGATCATAAACAAGACAGTAACAATTCAAGATGAAACTCTTATCGGGTGCCATCATGAGGTTCGCCTTAGACTAGCTAGGGGTGCAAATTCATTTTGGTCGGTAAAAGAGCCGAATACATACAAGTTATAGAGTATCGGTACATGTATATGCTCTTAAGGAATGGCTGTTATGGAATATAGTTTCTTATAGTCATCTTAATGCAGTCTAAGCACTGCTGTTGGTGATAATTATACAGTACTTTTCCAAACAGAGAAAATCTACTCGTCATCACTTTCCTCCCCTTCAATCCCGGAAACCTCGTCTTCTGAACAAGGTTGGAAAGCCCCAGGGGCCAAAATTGATGGCCGCGTCTTAATATTTCGAGCACAAACTCCCAGCAGAAGGTCATCATCCTCCGACCGACTCCTCGTAGCCCCGTCCAGCACGAATTTGTATTCGTGGCCCATCTCTTCTACGAGGGCCAACAGCATGTTGCGCGGGAGATATCTTCCCGCAGTTCCCCAGAATAGCTTTCCCTCCTCTGCCTGGAGGATTGCAGCCGCCTGGCTGGACTTCCCTTGGCTACTATGCTGCCAGCACATGCGTAGCATCTGGACGCAGTAGTGGAAGTACAAATATCGAGCAGCAGGGCGAAAACTCGAACGGAACTTGAGCTGGCGGCCGTCCAGCTCTCCGAATGTGATAGGGTGATGTCGGGAGACCTTCTCATCCCTCCTCTCCCAGTCCGGGTCAATAAGCTTGACTCGGTACTCCCGAGGCTCACAGTTGAGCCAACCCTTCACGGATGCTAGGACATGCTTCTGAGCTTCAGGAATATCCGGTACTATAGCAAATTTGCCAGCATCGAAGTATCTCTCAAGCCTTCTAGATAGAAGCAGGCCATTTCGAGGCGAGAAAAGCTCCTCCGGTCGCGTCTTACCGAAGATAGCATCCATCGTATCCTGCCCATTCATATATGGGAACAGGTGGGATGCTTGTATGTTTTCTTCTTCGTCAAAATCACCCAGAATGGGGCACCAAATCCATGGCTGCGTAGGGTGGTAGGCGTCATAAGCCTTGATCATGCCTGCCCGAAAGTTGGCTTGTTGGCTGGTGTCGCGATTCCCATTGCCTGTGCCTTTGATGGCCATGCCCATGGTAGAGGTAGTGAAGAGTTTCATAAAGGATGCCCTTAAGCTCCGACGAGGTAGCACATTCTCCAACTGGCTAACCCTATTCTCGCAGATTTTCTGAGTCTGCGCCTGGGCTTGAATCCGTTCTAATATCATTTTGGCCTCGTCTGTCTTCTTCCATTCTTCTTCTAAGCCCCCGAAACTACCAAGTGAAATCTTACGATCCACTTCTGACCTTTCCAAATTGATTCTTTCAATCTTTACAGCTTGACTCCAGAACTTTAGGTCAAACGACCCATGTGCCCTCCATGGTTTCCGGGCTATACTCAAATTGGTTGTGAGTTCGCGCTTTCTTTTCTTTAGAATACGTATAGTTTCAGGCTCGGTCTGGAGGGATTCCATTGATTCATTCAAGAAATCCATAATGATGGCTAGGATCAAGTTTGTGTCTGCAGGTTGGAAGTTGGGGTTTGGAGATTCGAGTTCGCGATCTGCAAATTCGAGGTTGGAGTGCGAATATTCAAGTTTGTGTCTGCGGATTTGAAGTTGGGGTTTGGAGATTCAGGTTTGGAGATTCAGGTTTGGAGATTCAGGTTTGGAGATTCAGGCTGAGAGCTTGGAGATTCAGACTGAGAGCTTGGAGACTCATGTTTGGAGCTCGGGAAGGTACTAAGCCTAGTATAGCTGTGATTGTGTCATGATGATATATGGCTCCCGCCGTTTCACTTTATTGGTACATATTGAATATGGCAGATTATATTAACGTGCTAAATTAGCGCTTCAAAATAACTATAAGAATGAACCCAATTCTTCAACCTTTATGGCCATGCCCAATAAAGGATGCCCTCAAGCTCCGAGGTGCCACATTCTCCAACTGAACGGCAGGGTTTAGATGCCATCGCGCCAACTCGGAAAATAATTAGGGATTGTTGGCTCTGCCTGAAACAGTTGATGAAGCTTGACGATGCAGTTGACGATGAAGCAGTTGACGATGAAGCAGTTGACGATGAAGCAGTTGACGATGAAGCAGTTGACGATGAAGCAGTTGACGATGAAGTAGTTGGTGAAGTAGTTGGTGAAGTAGTTGATGAAGCTTGACGACGCCGTTAATGCAGTTTGACGATACAGTTGACGATATAGTTGACGATAAAGTTGATAAAGGAAGCAATTGATAATGATTCACTCATATGTTAGAATAGGTAAGACCAAGGCGGTAAAGAAATTATATGGGTTGGCGCGATGGCATCACTTGGCAGATTTTCTTACTGGGCTTGAATCCGTTCCAATATCATTTAATGAGTATTCCACAACTTGTTTCTATCCATTTTTATTGAAACAATTCATTCTCTAAATAACTTCAATTATGTACGTTTGATGTTTCCCTCTTAGTACCTCGGCGACCTTTCTCAATAACCCATTGTTTACTTTTTTATACAATATTGAGTGCTGAAATACTGTCATATTGCTGCCCTTTATACATCCAAGACTAATTGGATATTTTATTTGCCTAATATTGCCACCGTAGATACATCGATCACCACCTAGGACCATGATCCATGATCTGGAGTTGACTTGACCTACTTCCTAATTCAGCAATCCGTGAGACCTAATCTGAACATCCTCCAAGGCTTCTAATTTCTAAAATCGGTATTCTCCAAGAGTCTTGACTTAGAATCACCTAGATCATGTTTCCTTTGAACGTAATGTTGAGGCTCTGCTACTTGTAGATAAAACTTGGAAGCTTTTCTTTGTCTTCCTTGTGTCTTCTCATGTCTCACTGGAGTCGGAACATTCCGAGAATATCGAGTGGACTATGTAGACTCGGACAAGTAAACAAAGAAAAATTTACATCGTCTCTGTTGTTCTGCTCTCCAGGATGCACGTGTTGTTCTGCAGACGAGACGAGGCACGTTACCATATGATCTGTCTTCGCAGTCCTTCTCAGCCCCGGAGATCTTCTTCTCCTTTTTCTTTTCCCCTTCTTTCAAATTGCCTGCAATGGATCTCGTTCCAAGTGCCTTTGTGGCACGTCCGTTGAAGATTGTGGTTATCGGTGCTGGGTAAGGGCATAGTGAACTCGCGATAATTACTTCTAACAAATTGTTTTAGTATTTCGGGAATCCAATTCGCACATGATACGAGCACATCATTGTCAGGTATCGATCTCGAAATCTACGACAGAAATCCTTCTCTGGGAGGTACATGGTATGAGAATCGGTATCCCGGGTACGACTATATTTCTACGAGCTTTATAATCAGATGAATGAGTTCACTAATTGCCTGTGATAGATGCACATGCGACGTGCCTTCCCACACCTACCAGTTCAATTGGGCGCCAAATCCATCATGGTCGTCGCTTTATCCTCCAGCTCCCGAGATTCACCAATACCTCGAGGATGTGGTCGACAGGCACAATCTCCGCCACTTTATGACCTTCAACACCAAATGTGTCTTGGCGCAGTGGAACGAAGACTCCTCGAAATGGAAAGTTGTTCTCTGCAACGTGGATTCCGGTGCAGAAAAGATCATCTTTGCTGATGTCTTTGTCTATGCTGTCGGGCGGTTGAACAACTACAAGTTCCCCAAGATTGTGGGCCAGGAAATCTTTCAAGGAGTTCAAGTACACACTGCAAACTGGCCGGCTGATATGACTGTCAAAGACAAGCGGGTGATTGTGATTGGGAATGGTGCAAGCGCTGTTCAATGCGTGGCAGCTTTGCAGCCAGGTGAGTCGCAAAGTCCCCCCGAAGACATACACACCACGCTAACTGGACTCAAGTTGTTTCGCAAATAATCAACATTGCGCGAGGCCCAACGTGGATTCTTCCACATGCATTAGCAGAAGATGGCATCGTCCAGCGCGAATGTGAGTATGAAAGAAACAGGCGAGCGACAGAAGCGCTGATCCATATCTAGACTCAACCGAACAAAAACAAGCTCTCCAGGCTTGCCCTATGCGCTATTATGACTTTTGCATCGCATTAGAGCAGAGACTTGCCGGAACTTTCATGGGACTCTGGAGAGGAACCAGATCTCAAGCTAACTTTACATCACTGGCACATTCATTCATGGAGTCCAAGATCACAAGCCCGGATCTTTTGAATGCACTCCTGCCAGAATTCGAAGCTGGCTGCCGTCGCTTCACGCCCGGTGGTCACTACCTGGATGCGTTGCAAAAGCCAAATGCCGTGTACATGCGTGACTCAATCAACAAGCTGACCGAGAATAGCCTTATCACTGAATCGGGAGGAGAGTACAAATGTGACATATTGGTATACGCCACCGGATTCGAGCCCTATCAGCCACGGTTCCCCGTCACTGGTCGCGATGGACGATCGCTCAGTGAAGACTGGGATCGCGAGGGACCGTGCGAGAGTTATATGGCTGCGATGGTTGCGGAGTTTCCCAACTTCTTCGGTAAGAATCTAACTGCTTTTTGTTGATGACTGTGCTCAAATATCTCGGACAGTCTTCAACCCCCCAATCTGCCCTGTGAATGGATCCGCCATCCCCGGTATCGAGAGAGCAAGCGACTACATGATTCGGATCATATCCCGACTCCAGACAGACAGACTGCGATCCGTATCTGTGACCCAGCGGGCTCAGCGTGTGTTTAACCAATGGGTTCAGTCGAGAATGCCTCACATGGTCTGGTCGGGACCGTGCAAATCATGGTGTAAGTAGATAGATCCCTACCTCTTGTTTCAAGCTTTGTGGATTTACTCATCTTGTGTGTGATACAGACAAGAACGATAATGGAAAGGTGGTTGTTCCCTGGCCCGGCACTGTCCTCCACTACTATGCGGCAACCGAAATTGTCCGCTGGGAAGACTTCGATCTAGTGTACGAGAACCCTGATGAGAAATATGCGAGTTTCGGCAATGGCGTGACTGTTTATGGATTTGTGCCCGATCATTTCCCCTGGGTTCATCCACCTACTGAGTTTCAAAATTCAGGAAAGAATGCGGAGCCAGCTTCTCAGGTTCTTGCACCACAAAGCAACATGTTGTATCGTGTTACAAGCCAGGTTTTACAGTCGCTGGGCGCTTGGCCGCATCCTGGTAAACCACCAGTCAAGAGTTGAGGAATGTTATTTACTATGCTAGCTAGCTTTAGGTTGTGAGAAATCCAATATGTTTTCGGGTTCAGCGATCTAAGTGTTTGCTTAGTATTACAACTAAATCGTACTACATTTCCAAATTATTATAAAGCTACGTTAGATCTTATCGTATACGAATGCATTGATTGACTCTATCTTATAGATATTATGTCCGATGATCTAGACCAATCAGCATGAAGGTGGGTATATTGGTAATTCCATCGGCTATAACGCCTTTACGCTTGTTATCCCCGGCAGATGCGCTTAGATTATTAATGAGCTCTTTTGACCGATTCATTTAACTAGTCTGAAAGAATTTCCATCTGTTTCTTCTTTGTTCCACTAATCATAATTCACTGTGAAACAATTGGTGAGTTCCCTTGCCCTGGTGATTTGACGTCATATTCAATGCGATATTCAATGCGAACCAACAAGAATATATAAACAATTATAACTAATAATTTTCTCTGTATTAGAACTCAAATACATACGCCCGCGATATCACAATGACTGACAATAAGATGGAATATGTCCGGTACAGATCCCCTGTCCCACACATTCCAGTCGAATGAGATGCTGATATCAAACAAACAGCCTCGGAAACTCAGGTCTCAAGATCTCCAAGATCATCCTTGGGACAATGGGCTATGGCAGCAAGCAATGGCAAGACTGGGTCCTGAACGAGGAAGATTCTCTGCCCCTGATTGAACATGCCTACAAGCAGGGCATCAACACCTGGGACACGGTAAGTGCAGAAATCAGAATATTTGAGAAAACCACCGAAGAAGCCGCTAATATTCACCGTGTAGGCGGACGTCTACTCTCACGGCAAATCCGAGGAAATCGTCGGCAAAGCCCTGAAGAAGTACAACATCCCTCGCAACCGCGTGGTAATTCTAACCAAGTGCTTCTTCGGTGTCGACGACGAGGGCAAGTTCCCACCCATCGCCGCATCCGCCAAAAACGACGGCCCTTTCGTCAACCGCACCGGCTTATCGCGCAAGCATATCTTCGATGCCGTCGACGCCAGCGTGGAACGTCTAGGCACGTACATCGATGTGCTGCAGATCCACCGATTGGACCGTGATACTCCGCGCGAGGAGATCATGAAGGCGCTGAACGACGTCGTCGAGAGTGGGAAGGTCCGGTACATCGGTGCTAGCTCGGTATGTCCATTCCACCTTCCTTCCGTTCTTATTCCCCCTTTCGTTTCTTCCGTTCCATGATCTGATTGATCTCCACTAACCCATAACAGATGGCAGCATGGGAATTCCAATCCCTGCAGAACATCGCCGAGCGCAACGGCTGGTACAAATTCATCAGCATGCAGAACTTCCACAACCTCCTCTTCCGCGAGGAAGAGCGCGAGATGATCCCCTACTGCCGAGACTCCGGCGTCGGCATTATACCGTGGTCACCGATTGCCCGTGGTGCGCTGGCGCGGTCTTGGGGCTCGCGCTCGACGGTGCGCGAGAACACCGACGGCGCGCTGAAGATGTTTGTCCGCAGTCGCGAGTCGGAGGCGGATAAGGCTATCATTGATCGGGTTGAGGAACTCGCTAAGAAGAAGGGAGTGAGCATGGCTCAGATTGCTATTGCGTGGTCTTTGACGCACCCTGGTGAGAATCCGATTCTTGGGCTGCATAGTGTTGAGCGGATTGATGAGGCGGTTGCTGCTATTAAGGTCCGGCTGTCTCCGGAGGAGATTAAGTATTTGGAGGAGCCGTATGTTCCTAAGGCTGTTTCTGCTCTTGAGCGGTAAGGATGTGAAGGGATATATACGGAGGTTTATGAGGGCTGTGAATACTGTGAATACCATGCAATTGAAGGCATCTTGATATTCTACAATAACAGCACTGAGCTCTTGATGTTGAATGGTACCTAGGCATATAGCAGTTCCACGAGGCATTAGACATATCTCTTTTATCTAGTCTAGTTACAATATAGGGAGTATGTAAAGAGAAATATCCGTACATGTCAGATCTAGGCATCAAGATATTCCGTAGTACTTCGGTTGTTTCGGAAGTATTCTCCTTTTCTGAGATCACATTCAGGCACCCCTACGGGGTAAGCATCCACTCGAACACCCACTCGAAACATCCACTGGCTCAGCCACACATTCTCGACAAATCACCCTTTACGGAGTGGGAAGTATACACCTCATAAGCCACCACCTTGGCAAAGGCTAGCTGGTATTCATCACATTTGGACAAGCGCATGCAGATCGCATTATTATTATCTTGGCGAACGCCAATTCGATCGAGATACTAGTAGATAACGGCGTGGCTTAGCGCCCAACACAGGACGATCCTTCCCCGATCTCCTCTAGCGCTTTATGACCTGGGAGGTGCAGATGGACGTTACTCCGAGGTCGCCGGTTTCATGCAGCAAGAGAATAGGCTGGCTCGCAACGAACTGACGGAAGGCAGAACTATTACATCTTTGACTTTGGTTCCTTGATAAGATTAGCAAGATATTTTGAGTCTTTACTTAAAATAGAAAGGCTTGTGGAATTCACTGTGAGTGATGGGTATTATATTCATATGTAGCGTGATTAGATAGATGGGTAGCAATGTGCACAAGTGAGATACAAGCATACATATTTTGACCTCAGGATATGGAAATGAAGATATGGTAAGAAGTAGGTAGGAAAAGAGAAGATGGAGGGGTGCGCAAAAAGCAAAGGATGCTAGATGCTAGTTGGAATGTGTGTGAGAGAGGGAGAGAGAGAGGGAACTAGAAGAAAAACAAACCGGCAAGGATTCGTACCAGACGAACCACACTGCCACGTATGAACGCCCAACTGATGCCAATTGAGATGAGACTCGAAAGAGGGGCTATGATGATGTCTACATGTAGACTAGCCACAAATATGATGCAGGGGTATAGATGGTGATGGGAAATGGAAAAGTCAATGAGTATCGTGTTTTCGGTGGAAAATGCCAAAGAATGTACTGAGGCGGCGGCTGAGTTTGCTTTTGGTTGAGTCGACAGCTCCAGGGAGCGGAGCATCCGACTTCTTCTTGCGGGTGCTATTATGGTGCATGAGGTGGGAATTTGAGGTAGGAGGATCTCGATCTGGCCGCGGTTTTGATCGAACGGTTTCTCTTTCCGGCTGGGCTTTTTCAGGAGACTTTGCTCTTGGATAAACAGCTCGAGATGAATCTTCCACCTCAGCGGACGGTGGGCGAGGGGAAGGGGGACGAGAGACAACGATATCGCGGCCGTTCTCGCCCGAAGTAGTGAACATGCTGTGTCGGTTCAGGCGAGTGCTCAGCCCAGAAGCGGATCGTCGTTTCGCTCGATCCATGAATGCAGCACCGGTGGAGTTGGAGCGCCTGGACAAACTACCTCCCTCCATAATGTTGGAACGGCGGATACTGGAAACTGACAAGCAGCGCTTGCCGTCTTCAGTGACATTCGGGAAAGAGTCGGTTTCATTCTTGGCGGTCGTCGGAGATGCATACTTCGCGGACGTTGGAGACGTATTCGACTTTGCGGGCGAAGACACCGGGTCGCCGTAGCGGAAATTGTCTGACCACCCCTCACGGAAGGCAACCCAGATGCCGGTGACGACAATCAAAGTTCGTAGTCCATCGTCAAGAATGACCGAGCTGCCATCGAGGGGAGTCTCGTCCGAGGCATCACTCACGACTGACATTCCTGAGCTTGGAGTCGTGGGGCCGGTGCCAGACCGAACAGCCGTGGAATATTCGTTATTGACTTCTAACTGATTTCGAGTCATGGACGCGAGCACGGGATGTCGGCGGGTGGTAGGATCGATGACACTGAAGGTGAAGCGCTTGCCGTCCTCGCGCGATTGTGTCGTTGCGGGCATAGTCATCCGTCGATTCCTCCCACCACGCAAAGCCCACCGCACGACTTGCACGCCGCTATCTGTCTGAGCGACAAACTCGTAAGACCCGCTTGGGAGAGGCGCAGCCTCCCAGATCGGCCCGAAGTTCAAGCATATCTCCGCCTTTCCATTCATTCGAGCATCTCCTTGATATTTTTGACAGACGGTGGCGACGACTTCGCGATGATCTTCGTCCTCATCCTCCGAGCTGACACGTTTCTCAGGAATGCTGTCCACCGCCCGGTCGTATTGTTCGCTCAACACCACGATGAGGTCATATGGACCCAATCCGTTTCTTGTTCGATAAATGGCTGGGAATTTGCGGGCCAGTAGCGGGAGGTAAGACGTCGATGGCAGAATGTCCACGACTGGTAGGGGCCGAGGGGTTTGCGACACCTGTTGTAGTTGTAGGAGGAGTTTAGGACGGAATCTGAATCGCTTGTGGCGAGCATGAGCGGCGGGGTGGGCGAATTGATACAATGTTTTGGGTCGAGACTTCCGACCTGTGTTTGAACGGGCAACTCGAGGCCTGGCGACCATGGCTGATTCTCTGGAGAGTTCGCCCGAGTCCGAGGCCGACTCAATCGAATCCATCGTCATAGCGGATACAAGGCCCGGACAATCAGTAGAACCATCAGGCAGCCTAGGAGGGCTGTAAAAGGAGTTCAACAATGGTAGAGCAGACAGTAAGAACGTAGGCGAGTAGGTAGTACACGTGGAAGGCTTGGCTTCTGGTTTCTTAGGTTCATTGGCATGGGCAGCTGCGGCATCCGCTGTGAGGCCAAGATTCAACAGCATGTCTAAGCCCTAGCAGAGCCACATTGGAGTGAGAGAATCAGATCTCTGTGGAATTTCACCCCGATCCGATGTACTACTCATAAACGGGCCGTATTCAAACGCGTCAGCTGCGGGGGTGGGAAGTTCAGCCCCAGAGCTATGTGTGGGGAAGGGCTTATGACGAGGTAAAATGGAACAGATGTAGAGACAAGAATGTGCAAGAGAAAGTATATGCAAGGGCAGTTGAAAGATTTGAAGAAGAGGAATGTTACTGCAGGAGCAATAAAGGACAAAGATGCTCAGTCTGAATGGGGCGGTCAGCCTTATGAAGCTATGTAAGAAAAAAAAAAAAAAAAAAAAAAGACCGAAAGGAACTAGTAAATAGAAATGTCGTAGTGGAACGCCATTTAGTTGCACAAAATCCCAGAATTGACCCCCCCAGTGTGTAATTTATGTTTAATAAACAAATTATAACTAGTCTATATCAAAGTACTCCTCCGTACTAGCAAAAATCGCAGTACGGAGTAGTTTAATGCACAAAACCGGAAGTTCAGCTCCTGTCAGCGGGCTCGGCCATATACGGCCTCCGACTCATCCGGATTCCGTGGCGATCATCAATCCCTACTTAGTATCCAGTCAGGTCTTTTTTGGCCTAAGATCGGGATGGTCTGCCCCTCTTGGCAAGCCCCATCTCATTGAAAAATCGGCAGATTGGTCCGAGGCTGGTTACCTCATGAGCCCATATACTAGGGAGAGCTCCATATATTTTTCTAGGCATGGTGGGACTATCACGTTCAGAAGTTGAATTTTCTTGGGGATAACTTTGAGCATTTCATATCTACGGAGTATGAAATCCGTTGATGACCCGTACACAATTTAACCTTGGAATCGGGCAAATTGTTGTGGCGCAAAGTCCGATGAACTAGCGCTTATGCTGGTAGCTCAGCCTTGGGAATAACGGAAATTCTTGGCAGATTGCTATTTACGATATGTACGGAGCACGACGGGTAGCTACGTCGTTTATTGATTCTGTGTTGATCATTTGTTTCACATATCTAAAATGCCCACAAGATAAAATTTGCTAGATGTCCCCAAATCGCCACGGGAGTAAAGTCCCTACCTCGCTGTGTCTAGCAGGTTCTCGCAAGGACGTCTCTTTTCATCAAACCTTGACGCCCGGTGGATCGGATGACTAATTATGCACAGTTATGCAGCCGAATATTTCAGCGTCCACCTCTTGGGAAGGTCGTAAGGTTACCTCGGTAGATCGGTCGACCACAACCCGGTGAATCGTGAGGTAAACATCCCGAAATCTAGACCGCTAGGCATCCCCTATTGGAAGAACTCCCGAGGTCTCATTTAAGTCACCCGCTTAGTGGCTGAGGTCACTGGAAACTTCTTATGGCTCCAGTTCAACCTACCACGAGGCCACCGCCGTTGTTTGCCACACTGCTACGATTGGACAACCCGATTCGAAGTTTGACGCTAGCATTTTGGGCATGGAAGGTTCTGTTGTATATCGTTGTTGTTGCCTGTCCAGGATCAGGTTATGATACCTCCACCTCCTTGATCTCATATGCTGCCAATCCAACGGCTACCCAGTCCGAGTCTCTCTCCGGACCCCTTAGATTTGCCAGATGGGACAGTATCTACTTCCTAGATATTGCCGAAAAGGGATACCTGTACGAGCAAGAATGGGCCTTTGGCTGGGGCTACACTAAGCTTCTGTCTATTTTTGTTTCAGGTACATAATTCCATCTGGGACTCTTCTAGCATCTCATCATCTCATTCTAACACTAATACTGGAAATAGGTATTCGTCTCTCTGGCGGAGATGCTGGACCCGCTAGCACTGCCATGGTGGCAGTGGTTCTCTCCCATGTCGCCCATTATTTGTCCGTATTGGCGCTCTATCGTCTGTCGGCCAATATCTTTGGCCATGCGACTGCCACCCAACACCTCATTTGTTTCCTATCTGCGGCTCTCCACATCATCTCGCCAGGGGGCGCTTTTCTTTCCGCGCCCTATGGAGAGTCGATAGTCTCTTTTCTCAACATAACTGGCTTTTACCTCTATTCATCGTCTCTCATTGCCGAGCGCAATGGGGCAACTCGTCTGCGAGATATTCGGGTTCTCACATCCGCGGTTCTATTCGCGGTTGCCACCATGGTCCGCAGTAATGGGGTTCTCAGCGGGTTCCTATTTGCTTATGATGCGGCAGTTCTGGGCTGGAAGATCTTGACTAAAGGACCTACACTGCACACCACTGTTCGACTTGCAGTGGTCATTGTCGGTGGCTGTATTGTAGGATCTGGGATAGTCATTCCTCAAATCCTAGCCTACCGCATGTACTGCATGTCCGAGGGCGATCTTCGGCCATGGTGTGAGTGGACTTTGCCTAGCATCTACGGCTGGGTCCAAAATCATTATTGGTAAGCAGTCATTCGCGTCCGAATACCACTGTCCTCGCTCTTACTGACTGCAATAGGAATGTGGGATTCTTGCGATATTGGACCGTCTCCAATATACCTCTTTTCCTGTTGGCGGCGCCCATGTTGGCCATTCTATGCCGATCTACGTTGTGGGCATTACAAAGTCCCTCTTCCTCCTCGACTAGCCCGGGCTCAATGCTCGCTCGCTTAGCGGTTCCCCAGGGTTTGCTGGCTGTCATGGCATTCACCAGCTACCATGTCCAGATCATCAACCGCATATCGTCAGGGTATCCCTTATGGTACTGGTATTTGGTTACCAGTGCGGTAGATCTCAGTTCAAGTACTCCCAAGCAAAGCCGGACTCTTGTAGCCGCTGTGTATAGCATGGTGGCCTATGCGTTGATCCAGGGTGTTCTTTTCGGTTCTTTCCTACCCCCGGCATGAAAAAGAATGACCAGCAGGGATGACCCGGCTCAATATTGGCCCGAGTCACCTGCTGTATACATTGATATGTGATTTAAGTTAGAAAACACGGCCTAGACTGCTTTGAATGACCACAAATGCCGCCTCCCGAGTGTTGGTTGGGCAAAATGCTTGCGTAAGGTGCCTGTCTGCCTAAACAGGGGTGGAAGCCGCAGTCGCCCACCAACTGAACTATTATAAATTGGAAAAGAGGGAAAGAAACGAATCTCACGCATCTTTTCAAACAACTATCAAAAACAAGTCCTACTATATCTTTAGTGTATCTTTCCACGCGGCTCACTCTGCCGGGCCCAAGCTTCGTTACGTATAATTATGTCATCACAACCTCGACTCTCTCCCGTTTGACCTCTTGACCTTCACCATTTAGGCATCTCAAGAAGAAGAGAAGAAACAGAGGCCGAAATCTTGAGCTGCTCAATTACCAAAAGAAATACGAGCCCGTCATATTTCCCCTCGCTTGCCAAGAAAAAAAGTACCCCATGCGAACACAGCCGTGTGAAATACAATAGTATTCGGTTCCAAATCCCGCGCTTTTCGGAGTAGGAGCTTCAGAGTTTCATTAAAAGTACGATTTCCTTCGAAACTTCTTCTATTATTGATAGGGCGCCGGAAAAAAAGATACCCTTGTGAAACATCGACGTTGCTGACATATTGCTTGCTTCTAGAGCTCACCCGACAGCAACGGCTACTCTTCCCTGACCTCCATACCCACCTCGTGTCGACCATTCCCTTCCCTATCCCCCATCCGACGATGGAAGCCTCTGTTCCCAAGGCGGTTCTCACATCCGACAATTTCCATCATGCACAAGAGCTCTCCCGGGCGACCTCGCCCGGTGGTGAGCCCGTCGCCGTGAATAGCGAAGGCGAACCGATAGCCCGCGTGCGCCCCCGTACCTATCCATACTTCAAATACCTCCCATACCACCTCGAGGATGAGAGTGAGCGGAATCAAAATCTGCGAGAGATTTTGAACCAGCTCTATATTGCAGTGGAGGCCGGCGACTTCAATCCCGGAGCCGTGCACTGGACACGCGAGCTACGCGGATGGCTGTCGCTCAAGTTCGATCCAACCAAGGCGCAGCGAATCAGCCTTGTAAAATTGTATTTTGAGCTTGCGCTTGCTCCTGGGATTGACCCATCGGTCGCTGAGCGGTTTGCGAGCATGTTCATGCTTCTCACGAAGTGAGATGGGTTCTCAGTGTTGGTTGCGAAAGTAATGCGGCTGCTAACACATCATTTAGGCGCAAGCATTATCTCAAACCAGTCCAAGATCTCATCTTAGATTGGAAGCCTCTATACAAGGAGCTCAAGGCTTTCGTCCTCCCCACCGAGTCCGGCCTCGTTCACTCGACCAACCTGAAGCGCAATGTTAAGACCTTGACCAAGCTTTGCGCATTCGCTCAATTATTCATTGACCCGTGTGAGCTCCCCGCTATGCTTGAGGAGTTCTTGCCTCATTATACCACATCATTCTCAGAAGGTGCCTTCGTTGTCGCCGGGCTCATTAATTTGTTGCTCCCGACATCCCCGGCTCCCGAATCGCGAGTCGATCTCCTACCGCAGAGCTATCTGCCTACACATTTCCATCTGTGGTCATTGGTCGGTCGGTCAAAAACATTTGACACAACATATCTGGACTATCTTTCCCGATTGGCCAGAGATTCTCTGCCGGCTGCTCACATTCCATTCTCCGAGCACGGTATCTTCACAAAGGAACAGTCCGCTCTCCTTTTCACTGCGATATTGAGGTTGTTGGAGATCCCCGTCGGGCAATCCACTTCCCCGTACAGTGCCTTGGTGGATATCTCGTCTGGTTTGGGTATCATGCTTGATCGAGATGGGCGGAAGCACCCTGTTGCTCATCATATTGCCCGGTGGATTGTGATGTCGCTTTCACCCGCTTGTGTAGATGCCGAGGTTTCAGTTCTCACACAGCTGGAAGGTCTAATCCAAGCTGTCGAGACGTTCTTCCACCCTTCAAACTCAGGTCATTGGACTAAGACCCTGTCCCAACTGGTTTATTACCTGACTGATTTCTTCGTCATGCGTTGGAATCGCGAACAAAGTGGTGAGCTGGAAGTCCCGCCCGAGCGACGATTGAATGAGGCTCTGAAGAGGCGGTTTGTCTTGTGCATCCGTGACGTAGTCTTCATGGGCATATATGCTAAGAGCGGCACTGCAATTACCTTCTCCCTGTCAACCTTGCAAGGTCTGGCCTACTTAGAACCGCATCTCATCCTACCCGGTGCTTTGCAGAGAATCTACCCTGCGATTCAAGGTCTTGTCGAAGTACACCGGACTGCGTCTTCTCTTCGGGCTATGACATCGCTGTCTCGTGTCATTTCGCGTACCAAGGGTTATCGTTGTCATATGACAACTTTGTTGGGTCTAACACTACCTGGAATTGACGCGAATGATCTTGAAAAATCGCTTCATGCTCTATCGTTCATCCAATCGGCCTGTTACAATATTCCAATGGTCGATTTGACCCAAGGGCGAGAGGATATCAACTGCAACATGCTTGCCATGCAATGGATCTCAGGTGAAATGGAGAGGATGGAAGAGCAAGGGTCCGATGTACAGCTTGGTTATGATACAGAGTTAGATGACGAGACCGAGGAATTGATCTTGCGTTCTTCGACATGTGGTTTCGGAGACTTCACGATAGCTTTCCTAGGTCGTGTCTTCACACTCTTGGAGAATCTGCCGGACGTATCCAGGGTTCGAAACGGTTCACCCGAAGAGAATATCGTGAACACTCTTCCCGCCACGTTCATGCCTTTGCTCGCTTCTCTCTCTCCAGAGTATTACGATATCGCCTTGGGGAAGATTGTGGATTTCGTGTCCAACCATGTCATCCACCAGGCTCGTGATGCAATGGCTTTCATCTGCAACGCCCTGTGCAAAGTCAACCCAGAGAAGGCCCTCAAGCGTTTCATCCCTGTCTTGACTTCAGCTATCCGCACTGAGATCGAAGATAATGGTGCTGGATCAACCCGAACCACAGGAACCGATGTTTTGCCTCGTGATCGAAGTCTAGTATGGAATGTCAGTATGCTGAGCATGTGCGTGGTGCATGTTGGCAGCGCCGTCATTAGTCACCGCCAAGAACTGTTTGACATTGCAGTCTATATGCAACAGAACTGCCGTGGCATTCCTACAGTTCATATTTCCAACTTCATTCACCACCTTTTGCTCAACCTGACTGGGACTTATACTAATGATTTCTCACTCTACGAACCTTCAGTCAAAGCGAACGGCATCGAGCCGAAGCTCTGGAGTTACCAAGCCGATGTGAACAACCTCACCATCAATTGGCATGTGCCGACGCACCAGGAAATTGAGTTTGCCGTCGACGTGTTCAAAATCCAAACAGAAACGGCTTTGAAGTCCCTATCTGCACTGACACATGAGACATCAACTGTCAAGCGTGATGGAAGCGGCAAGGACTGGTCAGATGAGGTCACTCGCAACCTCGTACTCCTGCGGCTCGTGTTGTCTGGAGTTTCTGTCCTCTTTGATTCCAAAGCCGCATCAATCACAACACAAGGACCCTCGAACGGTACCTCCGGGGATGTCGAGATGAAGGATGATTCGGGTGTTTCTAATGACCATGAGAATGATGAAGATGCTGTTCTGGACAGCTCTGATGATGCTATAATCAGACAGGCTTTCACATACCCCACTGGGTACGCTCTCAAGGAGGGAGACCCATTATACACCACCATCCATGGACTCCGTGAGCGAACTGGCTGGGTCTTACATGATGTACACCGGTTCTTGAGCGATAAGCAAGAGGATGATGTTCCTTGCTTCGGGGCTTTGTACTCTGCCTTTAGATCGTGGTTTGTTGATGTGGGCATTGAGAGGTCCGCTCATGTACTCGATCGAGTGACTCGCCTCTTAGCCGCGGACATTCATCCTTACAAGATGAGTGGTATGCGAAAAGATTACCCCAGACCCTTGCTTGTGCGCAGAGCCAACGTGTATCACCTCCAACGCCTACGACACAACGCTTCTCCCCGTCCTCGGTCTAAGCTTGATGAAATTCTTCTTCTTGATATTGCCGAATCCTGTGTCTCGCTCTACACAGAAACGCGCCGCAATGCTCAAAATGCAGGCGAATCGGCACTCAAAGCGGTCTATGGCGGCAGACTACTCGTCATTCCTCCTCTGCTCACGGCTCTGCAGAGGGGTGTCAAGGAAAATGATCATGCACGCATTAAGGGAGCACTCTACTCGCTACTTCTGAGCAGTGTAGCCAAGACTGTCGGGCGGCATTGGAAGTATGCGCCTGCCGTGGTCAGAACATTTATTGATGCCAGCGCCGTTGATAAGCCTTCTGTCCAGAAGATTTGCTCCACCGCAGTCTTCCAGGTCATGGATTACGGTCGCGCGATGGAGCGAATGGCTATCCTAGATCAAGAGATTGTAGAGGCAATTGCTCCTATTGAAGATGTCAGCGAGCAGATCGAGAAAAAGCGCGCAGTTGTCAACAGCAAGCGTGTTGCTATCGAGAAGAAGAAAGCCGACCTTTCCGAAGAGCTGGTCAACCTGGCGCGGGTGTCCCATTGGAAGATTGCCAGTCGCGCTGCAACCATCGTTATCACTATGGGTCTCCGCTTTGACTATATCGCCAGCGATAACTTGATCGAACTGATGACACTCGGGTCTATTGACGACCACCCTGGCTTGCGAGGCATGTACTCCCAGGCTCTCATAGCGCTGTTCACGATGATTGATGTGCGGGCCATCTGCACGCACGAGTACAAGAACTATATTCTTGGCCATCAGCGTTTCCCGTCCAAAATCAAGGTTGCAACAAAACCCTTTGAGAAAGGATACACTGAAGAATACCTTTCTAGCTTTGCAAAGCCTGAGGCGGAGTACTACGTTGATCACGACTTCCCGGGCTGGCTTGTGTGGGGCAAGACTATGCCGGCTTACAAGTCCAATGTAGC